CTATAAAAGATATCTTAAAATAAATCAGAGAAGCAGACAGTAAGTAATGAAAGACTGTGAGAAATTCTTTAAGCCTCAGCTATAATATAAAGCTGCAAAACCAAAGGCAACGCAAGATATGTAACATAATCCAATCAACTTTGTGATGGAGATTATCACAGTAAAATGTACTGAGGAAATTGATAAAGTATTTTTGTAGAAGAAAAAATAAATCTTTGATATAAAGACATAATTATATCCTGAAAATAGAACAGCATCTCTTTCCATTATATTAAGACTTTTGAAAGAAATAATTTTCTTCAGAAACCATGAGACTTATGAAATTGTAAAGAAAAAGCTATTTAATATGGCTAATTAGTAGTATGTTAGATCAAGCATCCTAAATAAACATTTAGCTAAATAAACCTAGAGAAGTTGTTGGGAACGGGAATGGGAAATGACTGTGGAATCTAATACCACTCAGAGCACTGAACCACAAGCTTGCAACTTTAGAGAGCATCTTGGAAAGAATTTGTCCTCAAGGAAAACCTTTGCCAAGACTACCATGTGCTATAAATAGGCAGTGCTACAAGAAACAAACCAGTACTAGCAGTCAGGCCGGCCGAGACTAGATCGGAGATGGTCTCAGAGATTATTTCATTCACTACTTCCTGGTCCTGTTACCTCATCCCGCTACTCACCTCACTCAGTCCTGATGCACCACAGGCTAGAAGGCTTCACCCTCAGCACTGGGAATACTGGGAATAATATAGCTTGAATACCTCCTCAGTGGCCTTCAAGATATGGCAAACTAGTAAAATCTGTTTTGCTATTTGTAGCATTATGAGGAAGCTTGGATTGTGGCAAAGATGAAAATAACCCATGTGGGGAGGAAGGAACAAGTAATGTAAAATGACTTTTCATTTACTCTCAGCTAAATCTGTCTTTGAAATGTTTGTAGGTCAACTACAATATTAAGTGTGTAGAGCAAGGAGAGTAAACAGATTCCTATACAGTGATGAGTAACTTAAGTCTCCTAGTTTACTTCTAGATCCTAGTCTGCTACTTACCTACATTATATTAATATTGTTTACACACATGCAAGGTTTACTCTGGGTAAACTAGTTTTCTCAGAAAAGAGATTTAGTTGTGGTTCTTGGGTCCCAAGCCCCTCTCAATAGGCAGCATTGGTAATACTGGACTAAATTTGGCTCCCTGTGCCCGACATGGTCTCCAGCAGCTCCCAGCTGTGACCTGAGGGTCACACACTGGGGCCAGCAAGCCATTTTCATGGCACTAAAAATCCCACCACTTTGCTAGACCCCCCCTAGTCTTTATATTATTCTAGTTACTCTAAAGCAAACACCACACATACTCCTTGAATCCCTTTTTAAAAAAAGTTTTTTGTTAGTGCTAACAGGGTGCTAGATGACACCCTGAGCAGATCCCAAGGCTGACAGATGTACACAGTGGACTTGCTCAGTCTGTCCTGAAAGGAGGCAAGCCACGAGTGGTATGTGCACAACTGCTCTACTCCACTGGAGTGTATGCATTTACCTGTGTGGATGTAGCCCTAAGGAACCTCCACAATGAAGAACTATGCTAAAGAGAATGCTGTCCTATTTTTATAAACAGAGTAAAACCTCCACAAGTGAGGAAAAGCTTTTAGATCATATATTTAATGCCTTACATTACAAGGTGGTGGACTGAAATGAACAATAAATAGTTTAAAAATTTGTTTATGAGGTAGAGAAACAGAACGTCAGCCCATCAAATTATTTGTGGCTGATTCTGCTTTGGCGTGTTGGGGCACATATCTATAGTAAATGGACTTTCATCTGCTGACAGAACTACTTCAGCAAAATGTTGATCAAAACACAAGTAAATTAAAAAGATATAGTGTGATTCTTCATTTTACCACAACAATGCTCCCAAACACAGCTTTAATACATTTGTGTCAGCACTTTTAATCTACACCTTGTGTTTCAAAGATATGAAGATTAGCCATTAAAATTAGCTTCTGCTTGAGGCTAGACCCAAATAACAAGCTGTAAAATAATTTAAAGATGTAAATTTGGCAGGCTTTTGGTTTTCTGCAGAAATGTTGTGCTAAAAACAGGAAATTCACAACAATTTTGAACCTTCTGGGATATAAGTTTCCCCTCACATCCTGAACGACAAAGCAAATCAGGAATAATGCTACTGGAAAGAATAGTTATGTTAAATTTAAACACAAAGTACATCTGTAGTACTTGTTCAGAGAGTATACTTAAGATTAATAATGTGTTTAGCAGCTTTCTGAAGCAAAGCCTAACTCTTTTGGTTCTCAAAGTATTTTTAAGGTCTATCCACCATGGAAGTTCTTCTGTTAGGGGTTTCTGCATAGGTTATGCTCAAATGCTTAATGTGGAACAGAGCATCAGAAAAGGGATTAGTCACAGAGGCTGATTCAAGTTTTTAAGTTAAATAACTGGTTTTCATGTTTTCTAAAACTACACATAATCCTGGAACATTATCTGTTTGTGTCTCACACATGTTTTCATACATACATAGATCTCTTGCCCTATTACAAAGAACCTGATCCTAAAATGCCATGGCCACCAACACCTTCATGGGCACCAGTTGTGGGGGAGGTGGAGGGGAACGCTGCTCAGAGCTCTACTGCCCCTGGCTGTGCTCAAGGAAATTCAAGGGAAGCTCCGTATATGCCCCAGGGGAGGCTTAACAGCCTTGCAAAAAGATATAGTCAGGCTTCTCAGCTGCAAAGGAGCAGTCCATTTTTGCACTCTCTTCTTTAATGAATTCGCTTTCCCTCAATGGCCTTTTAGCTTCTTTCGCTGTAGAGAATGTTTCTGTGGTGCTGCCTGGGAATTGCTAAGCTCTCCTTAGCACACCCCAAAGAAGCTGTTTTCCATGTGGTAGGACACAGATCACCTAGTTTTTTAAATGATTTGTGGAGGTATCGGGACTCTTCCTCATCTCTTAATAAGGTCAGAGGATAAAGGCCAACAGGCACCCTGCCTACAGAAATAAATTCTAATATCTGCAGCCACTAAAATTAATTGCAAACTACTGTTGATCATAATGGAGAGTGTTGACCACAGTGTCCTTAGGAAGGCAATATTTACTGGGGTCTTGTGGAGGAGCACAACTACCCCCCCCCCCCATCTCAAGCCCAAAGTGTGGTGGAGTGCAACTACCCCCCTCCCTTATCTCGGACTTCCACTGACTACAAATAGCTGACAGTGCCCAGGGTGGTAAGGAGGAACTAGGCGATACTGGTTGCAATTAGTTGGCCAGAAACTAGCATGAGATCAGCAAAAAGAGGAATATATCCCCCTATGCCACATGAGATCAGCAAAAAGGGTATCTTTTCCCCATATATGGCATGAAATCTGCAAAAAAACAGGTCTCCACACCAAATAACATATGACCATGAGTCAAACTCCATGTCCATAAATAGCGTTCCAGCCTAGAGCCCACTGAGCTCTCCTGCACGACAGCTGGCTGCACGGCGGTGAATCTCAAGGTTACTCTTCAGTGTTGAGAGACTCCTTACCCGCGACAGATCCTCAGTAAGTGACTAATAGCGTGCTGAAACTTTACTCCTCGAGGTCGAGAGATTCCTTACCCATGACATCTTCTCTGTAAGAGACCAGTACCATGCTGAAGCTTTGTAACTTTGCTAAGTCACCTCTTTGATTGATTGTGAACCTAATCCTTTAGACATAAACTGTTGAGCAAGTGTGGGACTAAGGAAGAGTCTGGAAAGCAAGAGAGTCCACTCTGAACCCCAAGACTCAATGGGAGGGTCTTCGTGATGATTTCATCTGACTGTATCCTCTATGCAGTAAATAACCTAGTGTGCCTTGTCATCAACCCTTGTTAAACCACTGCCTTATTTTACCACTGAACTTTGTTTAATCACTGTCTTGTATCAATAAAACATATTGCTATTTCTCTCTTACAAGTGCATCACTCATCTGTGACAGGTCTATATGTTCATGTGTGCCATATTTTACGGGGGAATACTGTATTTATCATCTTGAACTCCATAGCTTAGATAGACTATGAGTTTATAAACTGTGATGTTTGTAGTAACAATTGCAATAAGGCAGCATTAAAAGAAATAGCAACATAAAGGATATAACAATTTTGACGCACACTAGTTGTTCTCTTTAACACTATTTTTAGGTATTAACTGTTCTTCCAAACAGTTGAATGCCTACCTTTAGACAATTTCTTCTAGCCATATTTCCTGAGCATGATTATGAAAACTTCATGTGTGGCCAGTGACAAAGCTTGTTAAAATGACAATATATCGTGTCTAGTGTTTCCTTGTTATACCCTAAGCCAGCTTTCTTCTCAGAGAAGGAAATTATATTGGTTTATTTGCTCCCAATAATTCTATGATGGATTTTTTACCACCTTATTATACTCTAGGTGTTTATAAATTGATTATTTAATAATTTATTCAAGTATTTTTCTAAGAATCAAAGCTAGGCTGACTGGAAAATTTCCTTGTTCCTCTTCTTCCGAAAAATTGATATGATGCCTGCCCACACACACTGCTTTTCCACCTTATGTGACCTCCATAATTGTTTGAAGACAATCACTAATAGTTCATGCATTAATGTATATATCCAAAGGTTAGTCAGGAATTTTGTTTGTTTGGCCTGTTCCTAGTTGGTATCAATTAGTTTTCTATGATAGACATCTTAGAGACAGTCTTAATGTTAGGAAGTTAGAATATTTTGATCTAGAACTAGTTAATATATATATATAACATTAAACACTACTTGATTGTTTTCCTGCGCTCTAAAACGTTTGGTGTGCACAAGAGCTTGGGATTTCTGGCTCTTTTATATGTACATCAAACCACGAATGGGAAGATATAGTTTTTCTAGCTCATGTGATATGCAGTGAAATTTGTAGATATATTCGAACACAAACATTTCAGATTTACACAATTTTCCTAACAAAAAATGAGTTGTTGTAAGCTAAGATGAATTCCCACCTACCTATAAAGTGCTGAAAGTGGTCGCTTGTTGCCAGGTTTTGGTCTGTATGGTTTTGGTTCTCCTGCCATGTTGATATCTGAAAGTAAGCAATTGATATTCATAAATAAAAGATCTGAAAATTAGAGTGAGTTTGCAAAAACAGCTTCAAGACACTGAAAATTATTAGCAGACCGTGAAAATGGACAGCATATGTAAAGTCCTGATTTTTTAAAATCATTTACATCATGTCTGTGTATTTATCCTTGAAATACAATAATATGTAAAGCCTATACTGACATTAGCCATGCTGGATCTCCAATTCTTGCCTCCTTTTGAATCATACTCAAAGACATTCCAGCAAATATTCGTCCATTCATTTGAATGCTAGTGATACTTACCAATGGAGAAAGAAACACAGGCCATTCTGCTGAGAATATCTTGCCTAAGTTTAGGAAGCTGTCTATATAAACACAACCCTACATTAAAAAGTTGTTTGCTTTTTTTCAAAAAAACTAGATTTTGTAAGTCAACATTGCAAGGAATCATGCTGATGAAGGAACTAAGGAACTTTTGATCAGGAAACAAATTTCATGACATTCGAGTGATGCTGCAGTAAATCTGTCCTTGGTTTCACAAGAGAACTACTGAAATCTTCCTCAGATTTTCTCATAGAAAAATATTTTTTTTCTATTGACAATTCTATGTTTCAAATATTTAAAATAATTTTAAATATGTTTTCAGTATAAATTTGATATTTTGAATTCAAAAAACATTTATTTAAAATTATAAAATGTATTGGAAATGAAAAGTTTTTTATTAGAACTGTGTCCTATTGAATGTATTTTATGGATAAAATTTTCTCCATAAAAAGTGTTTGGAATTAAATATGATTGTAGTTCATTCTGTGGTAATGTATTACTTTTAGATTTGTATTGTAATAATTTAGAATTGTATTACTTTTAAATCATAGTTTCCCATCAAATATTAATATTTCTTATTTTACTTATGTCTCTGAATTTGAATGAATATTAAGACAGTTTTCGTTCTCCCTTGAGATGCTATGCCGCCCTTAATTTTAAGCAAAAGATATAGCAAAGATATGCACTTGGGGCTTTTCTGTTAATATGGAACTGATTGAATAGCTCTGCTACTCCCTGAGCACCTTGTACTAACTTAAGAATGTATGTAGGAAATAGTTTGAAAACTTAGAACAGATCTTCACCCCATTATTTTTCAGCACTATCTACTACAGCCTCAATTTTCTAACTAAGATTAGAAGTGAACTTGTCAGCATTTCACAGGATAGATCATTTCCAGCCCAACTGAAAATCCTGTGAGATAACTTGTTCTTTTGCTTCATCCATCATTAGCTTCACAGCAGACATTTACATCTAGTAGGTCATAAACTGTGTGTCAGATAAATTTGTTGGCTGCTGCACAGAGATTTATCTGGATTAATGATTCCACTCTGAGGAATGCAGAGAGGTATCACTCATTATGGTGATAAAATTAGCTACTGCACTTACACATGAATATGAACTAGACAACTCAACAAAACAGAGGGATTCATGTTGCTTCTTTGTGGGAATGGAAGAGCATAGGGACTCTCACATTATTTTCTCTGATCATATACTATAAATGTTCACTTAGAGTTCAACATTATGATATACTCAGCATTGAAATTCCAAATCTTAAGGTATCACTATGAATACAAAAGTGACTGGGCAAACAACAGTACATTGTAACACAGCTCTCTGTGCTTGCAGAATCAAGACAGATTACTTTCTGTATTAAAAAGAATACTTTCAGTACTATCTGTTCCTGTTAAGACAGAAAAGGTGGTTAAGATACAAGAACTACATTTCATTAAAGTTTTTGTGTTATCAATATAATATATATAATTTTAAAGAGGGTCTTTTTATTTCTAATTATCTTGAAAAGTGCCTAGCAATTAACTGGAGAAAAGCCTTGACTTAAAAAAAAAAAAAAAAGAAGAAGAATAAGAATATGAAAACTATTTAGAGAAAACACACATTGTATTCAGTGGCTACATAAATTGATCCGGAAGAGCAACTCAAAACAGAATGATCTACATTTCTTCTATCAGCCTTTCACATCACTACCTGTCCACATCCTCTAGGAAGGCTCAGGTGCATGAACCTCTTGTTTTTGGAGAGGCTATATCAGCCAGCCTTGACGCTTTGCATAATATAGGTTTGCTGCTTAAGCAATCTGGTCCTGAAGGCAACTGTACAGTTGCCTTTAAACAACCTTTGCAAATGTAAACAATGATAAGAGTGTTGTCTTCACACACTGGAGGTATTTCAGTATTTCTCAGTATATCTGTCCTTCAGATGCTAACATTTTTTATTGGAGAAAAAAATAAAATAAAATCAATCAACTCTTTTGGTTCACAAAAATAAATGACACGAATTAGAAGCTTTGACAGTCACTGGATCCATCTGTGAAAACTGGGACTACTAGGCTTTCTGCTGCAAATCCCAGCCCCAGGCCCCAGACTACAAACTATGCTATAAAATTAAACAGTGCCATTCCCAGGCACAAGAACTCAATTGTCTGTTGTATTAAATTGTTAGAATGGTTTCTGGTATGGCTTTTAGCCACAGCCAACAAGTACTCTCCCATGCAATTTCTAGACAGAGAATTTATATGGGCTAGAGACTACTGCTAATTGGCACTGTAGTTGTGACGGCTCTGCTTTGAGTGAAAGAGAACAGTACCAGGTACCTTTAATTAACTATCACAGTCATGACCTCTGAATGCTAGGTCCATGTCAGAAAGGCTGGAAACCAAGACCTGGACATAAGAAAACTCTAAGGTCCTCTGTAGCTCAACAGCTGATCCTCTCCTCAACAACCAATCTTCTAAGAAATGTTTCTTCAGATACTCGTCCACCCTTTCTTCAGAATGGTTGAGGAAACTGAGACTTTCCTGGAAAAACACTTTCATTTGCTTGACTTCACATTTTGGTGAAAAAGTTTCATCGTACATGTCTAGACCAACTCTGCTTTAGACTAATCTTTAAGAGAAGTATGAAAAGCCACAATTGTATTACCCCCCTGAAGCATATCAGAATGGCAATTAAAATTAATTTTCACACAATTCACACAATGAATGTACAATCCATATGCAGATCAATGTGGATATAGGAAAAAAATAATTCACTTTCTTCTTCTTCACATGACCCAAAGTATGTGGATCAGAAGAGAAAAATTAAGAGAATTTAGAATTTAGAGAAGCCTCTAGTCATGCTACATGGAGCATAAGCAAACACCAAGAAAGTTAAAGCTAATTTATCTTCCTTTTATACTCTTTCCTCTACCAGTCCTATAAATCTCTTCCCTGCTGCATACAAAAGGAATTTTAATGAAGTCATATGACATTTTTTACATCATAGTTTTCCTTTTTCTTCATATGTTACATCAATTACTCATCATCTCCTCTTCCCCATATCTAGCACTTAACTGTGAAGAAAGCAGAGAGGAAAGTGCAGCTTTCAGTTCTGTTCAATTCTACACCAAAATAGTGCAGCTGTAAAGAAGCAACCGCTCAGAAAATTGAACACAAAGTAAAATTAACTTTCATGGCTAGTAAAATATTTAATGAAGGTCCAGGTCACACGTCATCCTTTTCTATAAAAGCATTAAAAATAATTTACTTGTGGGACTGTCAGCTGCATTTGGATTTTCTGTTAACATTGAAGTAATTGGAAGCTTTTTTTTGTACAAAGATGATGGCTATTTTTAATGCTTCATACAGAAAGAGCCAGTTGTTGAATAGTATATGAAATTGCTTTGTTCAACCATCTCTTCCTTCATTAAATACTGCTACAGTGAAATGAGGCTATAGGATTATGTAAGCTATCATTCTTAATACTATTCAGTGATAAAAGTGTTAGGCATTGTCTGAAAGTCTCTTCCTGTTCTCCAAAGAGCTATGTTGGTGTGAATACAGGTTACAGCTAAAAGGAGAAATCCTGACCCCGGCATATACCCCTCACAAACAGTTCTTGCATGAGAACAGCTCTTTCAGGGTGCTGGAGAGAATGCTCTCTCCCTTAGCTGCAGAACAAACGTAGACATTCTTTACAGCTAACGTGGAACATTTATCTTCCTTGATTTTTGCCTGACTGCTGTAAACCTTGCACTTCCTCCTCATCTCTGTAACAGCACAGACACTGGGCAGACTTTCCTTGCCTCGTCGAGTGTGCATCCAGCTGTGGTTCGCAACACACAGCGGGGGAAGCACTCCTCCTGTCTAGGGAAGACTCCCCACAGACTTTGCTGACATTGCAGAGCCTGTAGCCAAGACTTCTCAAAATGCTTGTCTCCCAGTACTTGAATTCCTACATATCAAGTCCTGTGATGTGGCACAAGGCACATTGCAGGGAAGGGTGGAATACTAGGCTGCGGGTCACCACAGAGAATAGGACATGCCTTATAAAGGAGATCCTTTGGGAATTCATTCTTTTAGGAATGAAGCCCCTTTGGTGGCAATCCTTCCCTCCTCCTCTGCCTCCTCCTCCTCAGTACCTGGCTTGTGGTTCCTCTAGCGGAAGATCTGTGCTGCTGGTGTGCAGTTGCAAGAGGTTCAGATTTAGCTGATAGCCAGTTATCTGCAAATCAAGCTGTAAGAGCTGCAAGAGTATGGGTGTTTGTTAACTTTGGAAACCTGCCGGGGGTTTTAGCCCCTTTTGGAAATAAGGCCGTGTCAGCCATGAAGCTCACTGTCATATGGGCACTTAGCCCCACCAGAGCCAGACTGTAGAAGCATGTAAGTGTAATCTTCTTCTTATAAGAAAGTCCTTTACATCTAAATAAGTTTTCAAATGCTCTGTTGCCCAAAGATTTCCACCTGCCATTAACTTTTTCAATGCCTAGACTAGCTACTTCTGTATGTGTGGAAGATTAATATTTCCATAAGGATATAGGAAAGCAATAGAAAAGTGCATCAGGAACTTTCTATTACCTTCAGAAAAACAGGAAGACTGTTTTAATGTAAGGTTAGCCAGCCAAAAAAAAAAAAAAAAATCAAGCTGTGACTTTCATATGATCCTAATCCTCTGCTACACTGTAA